GCTAGCCGTATAAAAGGCTTGAGTGGTTTCCGCCCAAGTTGGAGGACTCCATGAACACCAGGAGGAGGGATCTTCACGCTGTGTGAAGATCTCTAAGCGCTGCGGAGCCTATTGGACCCAGTGCATTTCAAGCAGGCAACAGGGGTCTGATCAGCCTCTAGCCTCTCCCCGTCACCGATTGCAATCCTCAACGTATCCCTCTCCCTGCGCGCAAAAGGATCCACGGAGCCTCGACAACTCCGTGGGAGTGATCCGAGTATTGTCTGAGTCCTCAAACGAGGATTTAAGTGGAGCTGTGCCTGGGAAACTGTCCAGACTACTCCACGACCATCTTCAGTGTAAGTAAAATATCTTGAATCAACCATTACGCGCCCATGCCTAATTACAGCGTGTCGCCTGTTCTCTCCGACCCAGCGTGCCTGGGCTGCTGGCCACAGCCCGCGCGGCGCGAAAAAGGGCCTGGACCGCTCCCGGCCCGCACAGTCTTCATAGAATTAATTGTATATTTTACAAAAAAATTGTCTGGACAGATAACTAATGATGAAACATTGCCCCTAAAATATTAGTTTGTTTCAGAATATTTAGAACTTATAAATAGGAGCTCAAGAGCACTGCCAGGTCAACTCTCTAAAAATATTCAGAAATATTCTCTTCTCCCTATTACGTCTGCATGTAAAGCAACTGCATTAGTGATGATGACACTTTGATTCTAGTGTACAAAACCCAAAATATAACTAATATATTCAGGATGATGGAGGGATATGCATGATTGACTCACAACAAATAACTTTAATTAATGACCCAAGAAAACAAACCAAGTTGAATAAAAATGCACTAAAATTAGTAATAAGTTAACAGCTTGCCCATTTCCTAAGGCAACACGTGGCTGACAGATGATATGATGTTTCATGACAGACAATTCCTGATCCCTTTCCCTTTTTTAAATTCTGTTTGCTCAGAGAATTACCATTTAATCAATATCGATAGTAGAACCACTAGCTCCCAAAAACAGTTTATGATTTAAAAGAAGAAAAAGACAAGGAACAATACTATTAGTGCTAAAGACCAAGTTGATGCCAATCATCCATAGGGTGATCTAAGGTGTACAATAAATATTGAATAGTTCTGCCTCCATATCCACGTTTACCTATGTTGTCTCCCTGCCACCAGACTCCATTAATTTTCTCAGCATCTGCCACCTATATTTAATTAACCTTTAACCAACTTGTGCTTTAAAATGGTTCCATCAGTCACATTCTTTTTTTCCCCCCAGTAACTTCTCCCCTCAACATCCATTAGTTTCATTTGTTCTGCTCTATTTGCAGAGCATACCAGCATGCAAAACAAACCACTAAAAATAACAGACTCAAATAGGCAACCTTCAACTTCAGTCAATTGTTTGGACTGTTTACTTCTGATGTCTGATGTCTTTCCACAGATGCCTGTATAAACTCTTCTTCTTTCTAAGGTCTCCCCAGAGTGAATAAGTGCTACCTTCCAGAAGGATGGCATTTGGGGTGCTGCAACTTGAAATTCCACTTTGACCTTCTCTCGCCTGCACAAAAACAGCTCTCAGTTTTCACTCTAAGAAAAATCAGCACTAGAAAAAAAAACAGGTTCTATTTTGAAAATTTCCATTTATATTACAAGAATGAATTAAGGCATGAACAACTAACATGCACATTTTTTTTTTTTTGTAGAGCATGCACACATTTACCAAGCATGCTCAGAAGAGCTACACTCAGGCCAGACAGCTTTGAACCAGTTCAAATCTGTAACACAACAAAAGTTCAGTGCACATAAACTGCTTTCAAAACAGCTGAAACTGGTTTAAGATAAACCTGGATGGATGTAGTATCAGACTTAACTGAATTAGGTAAATCAGTTTATTTAACTTATGTTCCAGATTCCCTCCAGATTCAAATCAACTCTTAGTCCTCCAGCATGCCAGGATATTTGTGCTTCCCCTTTAAAGTCCCCCTTACAGGGTAGATGTGCTAGCTTTGACCCAAGCTGTCTGCTCCAGCCAAGCAGGGAGGTGTGTTCTAGCACCCCCTGGTATCTAGAATTGGCCACTGCAGGCATGTGACTGCATTTCTGGAATCAAAAGTGAATGTCTGTTCACTTGCTTATTGGTTTAATCTAAGTAGGTTAGATTAACATGCAAAGATTGAATCGATTCAGTCTCAGGCTTTTTGACTGTCTGTACTTAGCTCTGAGGTCTAAATCCTCCAAAGTATAAGGCATTTAATTTCCATGGGGATCAGTGAAAGCTGGGCACCTAAATGCTTTTAGGGATCTGGGACTCAGTGCCTAAATCATTCTTGAAAATGGTGCTCAGGCTGTTAAGGGTTTCACATGCATCTGAAAAGGGAACTACTCATGCTTTATAGAGTTAAGCACATGGATATATACGAAATCAGACTATATGATCTAATGGTGGCCTTCTACCTTTAAGCTCCATGATTTTACAGTTTCTGCCTGAGTATGGTCTTGATAGACAATGGAAATATTTTCATCATTCCATTTAGAAAAAAGATGTAAATTTTAAACAGTGAAGCCATTGACCATTGGAACAGCTTACCAGCAGCTATGGTGGATTCTTCTTTGTTAGCATATTAATTAATAAAAATGGCTGTTTTTTTTCTGAAATGTATGCTCCAGTTTGAACATAAATTCATTCAAGGAAGTCCTATGTCCTTTGTTTTAAACAGAACATCACACCACATGGTCACAATCATCCCTTTTGGCTTTACCATCTATGAATTATCCCATTATATGAATACAGAATGGAAGCACATAGAAATTGAATGCCATGCTCAAGGTTATACAATAAATCTATGATGGAAAAAGAAACTGAACCTGATTCAAAGTCCAGTGTTCTAACAATAACACTATATGACTTCACTATATGCCCTCTAATAAAAGATCATAAGGTTACACTCAGTTTGAGAGAGAGCTGGAGTTGAGATCTTCCCCATTCATACTGTAAAGCACTGTAGAACCTCCCTTATGAAAGCTAATTTGTGATACATTTTCATTTATTTTTCTTAAGTAGCATTTGTTATTAGTTTGCTTCTTGTTATTGAATTACTAATAGCCTTTGAAAATGTGATTGAATATAGGTTTAGTTTGGAGTCAGATATTTGCCATTCAGACTTTTCAATAGTTAATGACAGTTGCAATCGCTTCAGTACTTGTGCTTTTAACAGTTTGACAAGTAGCCCTGGATTTTTCCATCTTCCAACTAACTTTTGTGCAGCCCAGCACATTTCTTTCATTTTTAATGCTTCCATCACCTCCAAGATCTTTTTAATGAAATGTATGTAAGGTTTCCCTTCAGGGGTTTAGGTTGACGAAGGGTTTTTGAACCCAAAAGCTTGCTTAATAACTATTCTCCAACCATTTGGGTTGGTCTAATAAAAGATATCAAATTCACCCAAGGAACCTTGTCTGCCAGGTTTCCCTTCATGCATCTGAAATCTATGTTAACAAATCCATGCATATTTAGTTTTTATCTTAAACCCTCCCTCATCTTTTTCATAGTTTTGCCTTTAACTTAATAAGCTTGAAAGGAAAAGCCTCAAGAAAATCCCTGTGCATTATAGGATGAGGGGGCTCCAGCTAACCATAAAGCCTGAATGAAACAGGAGCTTGAAAGGTATTTACTAACCATCCAAAGCATTTGTTATCTTTTATATAATACTTTCATTATTATTTAATGGCTCTGTATCTAGAGTCTAAAGCAACCTTTAACAATCCCAGTCAAAATCCTAAGGATCCTGTAGTAAATTCCCTGTATGTACCTATATTTAATGCTATTCTTTTCCCTGAGATGATAATCAGCTCTGCAGTACCTAGTTTATATTACACAGGCAGCCTAGTTGGCTTTAATAAAAATGTTGAAAATGATAAAGTCTTTGAACAGTTTGTAAATTTTTATTTCAGCCCAAACCTAAAACCTGATACAAATGAGGAAAACACAACAAACTGGTTTCCAGTTTGCCAGCTGGATATAAAAGGAAGAATACCATGATTTATGCAAAATGCACACTTGATTTACGTTCACAGTAAGAATATACTTTACAATATTACTATTATGTTAAACCAATTTTGTGATTAGGCATTTTTTCCATGTACTAATTGCTACTGTTACACATTTAGTGACTGTTTCTTTCAAAGGAAGAGCAAAGCTGCTTATCTTTCTTTTCCTTTATTTCTCCCAGGTAATGAGTCAACCACTAAAATAATATTTTCAGAAATGTGTCTATGGCTAGGAAGCCTAAGGCCTATTTTTGAAAGTCACTTGGGAATTTAAGTCATGTTCAAAGCCAGTGTGATTTTGAGTCCTAAACTGAAATTCACAAAAGTGCTTAAAATGGGACTTATATGGAATTTAGATTAAGCTCAAAAAAACAAAACACACCTAAGCCCGTAGGTGACAGAGATTACTAAAATGCCTGTACTTTTTTTTCCCCAGAAAAGCTTTTTAGGCTCCTAAAATTCAGTTGCAGAGCATACTCACATGTATCACCATGTTGTCTGAGTTTTAGGTGTCTCTCATTCCCATTTGGGATTCACAAATGTAATATCCATTAAGGCCCAGTCTTTAGGTATGCTCTACAGACCCCTAATGTTGATGAATAGCATTGCGTTCTGCACCTACGGATGCTTTCATTCCAAACCGCAACAAAAGGAGGAGCCTAGCTTTTGTATAGTAGCTTAGTGGGTAAAGCACTTACCCGGGAAATGGGACTCTTAGATTCTATGCTTCTCTTAGCTTCAGAGAGTTCAAATCTCCATTCTTGCATGTGACCAGAGAGAAGCAAGTAAGACTATGTCCCTATAGTTAAGTGACTAAGGCACTCCGAGGGGATAGTCCCTCTTCCCAGGTATCCATATCTAATGACTCTTTTAACATAGTCCTGACAGATTACACCCTAGGGTACTCAAACAACTGGCAGGTGTCATAGCCCAACCATTGGCAAAAATATCTGAAAACTTATGGTGCTCAGGTGAAGTACCTGACGACTGGAAGAAGGCCAACGTGGTACTCATCTTCAAGAAAGGGTGAAAGTAGATCCTGGGAATTACAGGCCAATCAGCTTGACCTTAATCCCTGGTAAGATTCTGGAAAAATTTATCAAGAAGACCCTTCTAGATAAGCTGGATGAGGGCAGCATCCTGAGGGATAGCCAGCATGGGTTTCTTGTGGGTAGGTCTGGCCTGACCAATCTCATCTCCTTCTATGACCAGGTGACTTATCACCTGGACAAAGAAGAAGAGATTGACGTCATATATCTGGACTTCAAAAAAGCCTTTGATCTGGTGTCCCACAACCTCCTCATGGAAAAATTGGCTAACTGTGGCCTCGGCTACACCACAGTCTGATGGCTGGGAAACTGGCTCTGAGGTCAAACCCAGACAGTAGTGGTCGATGGTAGCGAATCATTATGGTGCACTATGACCAGTGGCATTCCCCAAGGCTCTGTCCTTGGACCGGTTCTCTTTACCATCTTTATCAATGATGTGGACATTGGTGTCAGAAGCGCACTGGCTAAGTTCACCGATGACACTAAACTTTGGAACATAGCATCTGCATGTATGGAGAGGCTAGTGATCCAGGCTGACTTGGATAAATTTAGTAAGTGGGCGGATACAAATTTGATGATGTTTAATACCAATAAATATAAGGAATTACACCTTGGGAAAAAAAACAAAAACAAACCACAGCATACTTGTAGGCTCAGCAGTGCTACACTTGCTAGCACCACTGGTGAAAGAGACTCGGGGGTCATGATTGACCACAAGATGAACATGAGCCACCAATGCGATATTGCAGCTGGCAAAGCAAACCAAACTCTGGTTTGCATCCATAGATGATTCTCAAGTAAATCTCAGGATGTCATCCTCCTGCTGTACTCAGCCTTGGTGAGGCCATAGCTGGAGTACTGCATCCAATTCAGGGCTCCACAATTCAAGAAGGATGTCAAAAAGCTTGAGAGAGCCCAGAGGAGAGCCATGTGCATGATCAGAGGGCAAGAGAACAGGCCTTATGAAGAGAGGCTGAGAGCCATGGGACTCTTCAGCCTGGAAAAGTGCAGGGTTGGGGGGACCTGGTGGCTGCCTATAAGCACATAAGGGGTGTACATCAGGATCTGGAAGAATGTCTGTTCACCAGAATGCCCCAAGAAAAAACCAGGACCAATAGTCATAAACTCCTCCAAGACCATTTTAGGGTGTCATAAGAAAAACATTTCTTTACTATCCAAGCCCCCAACAGCTGGAATAGACTCCCTCCAGAAGTGATGCAGGCACCTATGCGGGATTCATTCAAGAAACATTTGGATGTTTATCTTGCTGGGATCCTTTGACCCTAGCTGACTTCCTGCCCCTGGGGAGGGGGCTGGACTTGATGATTTTCGAGGTCCCTTCCAGCCCTAACATCTATGAATCTATGAATCTATGAAACATAAATGACATAAGCAGTCCCCGTGACCAGGCACCAGAATTTTAGATGTGGGAGTCCTCAATTGACATGTTTACATGTACATTTAGGTGCACCTAAATTTAATGTGCATTATCTTAATTCACATTAAGCCTATTTACTGCATCTACACATGCACATGTTAAAGTGGATTAATGCCATGTGTGTGGACTGACCTGGGACTAAAGTTAGTCAAATAGCCTAAAATAACCATTTTAAGGTGCATTTAGGGCATGCACATATAAGCACATGCCCTTAATGTGCCTTATATTGAGCTAAAGCACCTTAAATTGGCATATGTAGGTGCACTTAGTATCATCATATCTGTATTACTTTGTGAATATCACCTTAAAGGCTTACATGTAATTGGTTATTTCCATACATAATTGGGAGACATCTAACTATATGGTGGAATACTCAGTAACTCAGCATAGGGATACTCCCCGTATAATGACTTGGAATAATGTTGTGCCCAAAAAAGGGATCTACAAAAGCCAGCACCATGATTAGGGTTAAGCCATTCAGTTGAAAATTCTGAGGATGGAGTTGTGTAGCAATCTAACAAGTAATGTCTAATGTCCTTAAAATTTGACCTCCAAAACTTTTACAAATGTATATAACTCAATAGTATTGCCTGGTGTTAAATTAGCATTTGTCAAACTTGGAAAAGACCCTATGCACTTTTGCTAAGGATTCTTAAATTTGAAGTTTGCCTTAATTCTTTTTAACATTGTAGTATATATGTTTCCATCTTTTTGCCTACCACCTTATCCCTATTCATCTTCTACTTCTTAAATCTAGTTCTTGCATGCTGTCATTCTTCTGAGTGTTCTTAAGTTTGAGAGTGAAGTTGTCTTTTTTCTCTTTTCTCCTGATTTTCAGCTTCTCTCAGGGTTGCAAGTTTCTGTCATTATTTTCTTGTGGACAGCTTGCTTTTGAGTCCATCGGCACTCATAGTTTGTACTCAGAAGAATTTCAGTTGAGCAATAGGACACTGTGCCTCCCCCAGAAGTTTGGTTGTCTACCTCTGCTGAGCTCTCAGCATCTCTGACTGACTGATAGATCATTTTTATATGTCTTTTTAAGCATGCTGAGTTTATCAGTAAATACAGAAAGCAAGAAATATGCAGTGTCATGTTACATACAATTTCATGATGCATTCTCTATTCATGAAACATAGTTTTAAAATTTCACCTTCATAAAGGAATACATCACAGAACAAAAATGGAGAGGGAGAAGATGTTGATGAAAAGAGAACTACAGCATTACAATGTATGCATTTATCAGACACAGCATATATGTCAAACAACTCATATAAATAGGATGTCTATGAATACTCAGTGGTCCCTTATAAAAGAGCATGACAGGCATTTAAAATGTAGCAAAAAAAGCACTAGAATTATTTGTTTGAATACTATGTATTACAAGTAATCTGATCTGGTAAAGAGTATAGTGTCCCTTAAATTTTCTCTGTTATGTTGGGTTATGTCGCTTATGTAGCATCTTGTATACTGATGTGACACAGCATAATGTGATTTAATTCAATATGACAGTAACAACTTAGAAGGAAACCTACTTTGAATCAGATACTCACCATCAATTTCAACTGTGGGTATCTGATCTGATTTGCTGAGCTTTTGACGACTGGATATTTGTGAACAGCAGGTCCTTGTGGGTATCCATGGCAATCCACGAACAGCAATGCTTTTCTGTTTCCACATCCTTTGAGGCCATTCATGGTGGGTTCACTGACATTTTCAACATACCTATGAGCCTGGATATCTGTAGGGTCTAGGAGACAGAGGTAATAAATAAATTAGCACCAATAATGAGTATCAAACCTCTAGGATATGCTGAAGCTTCCCCTGAGCTGTCAGAAAAAAACTTGACAAATAAAGTTGGATAAGAGTGATACTCATGGAAAGCTTCATAAATACAAGTTAGGTCAAAAAATTCTAGACACAAGTGATTACATTTCCTAACATATAAGGAGGAGCTGGAGACCACAAGGTAACCCTTAAGGAAATCAAAACTTTCCTCATTTATAAAGTATGGAGGTAGCTGGAATGAACTGGAAGAAATATTTTCTCTTTAAAAAAATGTGTTTATTATATAGGGGGTTGAGAGGTGCCAGTTTAGCTTCACTTTGCCCAGAAGGACTTAGAAATATGCCAACTTCATGAAATATCACTTTTTGCAGTGCCTGGATATTCCTTTGATATCTGCACAGAGTACCACCCAACCTTCCTTAGTTTGCAAATTTAAGCATCATCTTCTATTACCTAGCACTGTACTAAATAAATAATATGAATGGCTTCTATTCTGCAAAAGTCTAAAGAAACTAGATTATACTTTTGGCTATTTTTTTCCATTTTGAATAACTGGTCTAACTATTTGACCAATAATTACTCAAACTCCCCTAAATGGGCAAGACCACAAAAGATTTGTAGCATTTTTCTATTCATTATGTTAATAATTATGCTAGTACTTTCTGTTGAGAATGGGGGGAAGAGGAAGAGTGATTTAGGTAGGACAGGAAATAGCTTTCATGCTGGTTATCTTTGATTGTGATTTGACTACCTGTTCTTTCTCTGTCCTTGTTACAACCTCAGTTGATACAGCCAAGCTAGGAGAATATCTGGCATTCTTCTTCTGTCTCTATGTTCATTCCTTTCTGTCTTTGCCTAACTTCATTCCTACCTTCCAGTATGTATTTATTTCTACATAGGAACTCAAATCTTAATACTGACTTAGAAAACCTTGATTTATGGGTAAATTCAAATCTAGGGAAAAACAAAACAAAACATGAAGAATGCCCATAATATATATTTGTTTCTGAAATATATGAAACTCAATGGAAAACAGGCATTCAGTGGACTATGTGTAATATAGCCATGTCTGAAGAGGGTGAGTACACCATGACAGTTTATATTTGAAAAAGGAAACATAATGCATGAATTGTATGTAATGTGCCAATCTAATAAAACTGATCTGGCTAAGTGGCTGGAAATTAGATTATCACCTGGTGGGAAATTTTGATCACCTGCAAAAGATGATCCAGAGCCAAGAATCTTCAGATTTCAGAAGACAAGGTCTGTCAATAGCCACTTTTACAGAAACAGAAAGTGAGAAAAGTGGATGCAGGGGAAAGAGAGAGATCTTTCTTTCTTTCTTTCAAAATGGCCACTGGCAGAAGTGTTTGCTCAGAGTTCTGAGAGCTTCTCCTTGTTTTGTAATCCTTTCTCCTTCTCTTGTTCTGGTTTCCCTCCCCTAGACAGCCTGATCCACTTCCCATTGTAGTAATTTTTCATTATTTTTTTCTTGCCTTTCTCCCCCTTTTCTCAGTCCTTTCTCCTGCAGTAAACATCTCCCCTCCCCCCTCCCTCAGGTTGTCTTTTGTTTTCCCTTCCCTTTCCTGCCACATTGCTTATCTTTCTCCCCTCCCCTGGAATTGACTGGTTTGTTTGTTTCCAGCTTCTTTGTTCCCTGCATCATCTCCCACCCCTCTGGTACCTTGCAGGATTAACCCTTTTTTTCCTGGAATGGCTGAAGGCAGCTCCCAGTGGTTCACTGCAGGGGCTTCAGCCTCTCTGGACCAGAGCTTTTGTCTCTGGCTTTGTGCCCCTCCCTCCACTGGAGTGGAGGAGGCACTCATAGGCTGCAAACATGTCCTCTATGCTGCCCAAATGAGTTCAGTCCCCATCATCTTCCTCATCTCCCCTGGTTTAGCGTTTGAGGTTGTAGTAGCAGGTGTCTGTCGGGAGTGTTTTTTTGCCTTGCAGCACCCCTAGACACACCAGCTGTTCATGATAGCCTTGAACATGTCTTTTATTTCTCTCAAACGATGACCTCACTAACTGCACCCTTCTGGCATGGTTACAGGGCCAGTCCATACACTGCTGCTTGGCATGTCCTATACTTTATAAGGCAGTTGTTTATGCTTCTCAGCAGGGAGGGTTGAGGTTTGCCCCACTCCATGTCTTTTCTGTTTGATGGGCAGTGTTATAAGGTCTACCTCACCACTAGGGACACCTCATGTTTTTGCTCTGGTAGTAGGTCCCACCTGGCTACCCAGTGCCCAAAGAAGAAGCTGGCCATGGCGGAGCCACCTGCAGCTGCACCCGATGGTGGCTCACCTGATTCTGGTGCAGCAATCCTGTTGGGTGGTGGGGAAGGGCCTTCCTCTCAGTCTCTCCCCATTTCACTGGAGTCACCTAGCTCTGTGATGGTGGACCCGTTCCCCCCTCCTCCCCCCTCAGGAAAGGATTTGGCCCTTTCAGCTGGGAAGGGCAGGTCCCCCAAAAAAGGAGTCTTCTAAAAAGGCCTTACTATCCCATCAAGACCCCCCCAACACTTCAAGGGGAGCTGAGGATAGTGAGCACCCCTTCCCCCCCCCCACCTGCCTCTTTGGCATCTCCCCCAGAACCTGTAGTACTCACGGGTGGCCTGGGGGTAGAGGAGGCGGTGGTGGAGTCCAATGGACCTCCCCTCACCCCTCAGCTCCTTGAGGTTGATGAGGTTGACATGGAGGTTGGACTCTCTGGGAGCCTCAAGCAGCTCCAGGAGCAAGAGTGCCAGGCCCATGAAAGCACCCCAGCCAAGAGATCAGGGACTGATTCTCACCCCCAGGCCCCCTTGGAGGATATTGCTCCCACAGGACCATATACTGAGGATCCTGGTGAAGGGACAAGTGCTCCTCCTGGGGCTCAGTGGCTCTCAGTGCCTGATGTGTACAGCTCCTCTGCCTTGGGGTCTGATTTTGATTCTGCCTCTGAGGACAAGTTAACAGAAGTCCTGCCTCTGGTGGTGTCCTCCAATTCAGTTAAGGTAGGCCCCTCATTAGGAAGCATCCCCACCCTGGAGGTGGAACCTGTTCCTGCTTCTGAGGAACCTCCTTGTGTCAGTTACTTGGTTGAAAGCCTTATTGAGTTGCTTGACCAGACAAAGCACCACCGAAGGGTTGCACAGCATATACATAAATAGTTCCGAGAACCTGAGACATTTGTGGTATTTGCTAAGGCTGCGGCAGTGGCGCTGCACTCCCCTGTGGGGATGCAGCTATATAGTTTGCCAGCGATGTTGGGCACTTGTTGAGAGCTGTGCTGGCTGGCAAGCTGTAGGCCTGGTTTTATCCCTGTCCTGCATGCTTGCTCCTCTCACTGTTCCACTCTGTTCCCTTGGCTTTGCTCATCCCCCTTTTCTACACATTTCATGCATGACTGCCACAACATTTGGTTCACTCAACGCCAATGGCTGTAGAGACCCTCTGAAATGGACAACCCTCTTTGATTTCCTGCACCCAAAAAAGCTGGACGCCACCTTTCTGCAAGAAACTCATACTGATGCAGGTAATCAAGCCTACTGGCATGAGGCCTGGAAGGACCATATGTTCCTGAGCCATGGCACCTCTCTCAGTGCAGGAGTCACAATTCTCTTATCACCACAGCTGATGCCTGACTTGGTGGTAACCCAAGAGGTTGTCCCTGGCCACCTGCTAACTGTGCCCATATCACATTAGCACAACATCACCTCATCCTAATTAACATCTATGCACCCACTGTTGGGTGAGAATGGACAGCCTTCTTTGAGACTCTGGCTGACTTTTTGAGGAGTGCAGCTGACTGTGATGATCTTCTCCTGGGCAGTGACTTTAATTACACAGTCAATGAATGGCATGACAGGAATGGGCCAGAACCTCATCCATCCTCAGCTCAGTGGCTGAGGACAACTTTGAAGACAGGGGAACTTATGGATGTCTGGCGCCATTTCCATGCTGATGCAAGGCAGTACACTTGGATAAAGGCAACCACTGGTGGGATTGCCATGGCACGCCTTGACTGATTGTACTTTGCCAAGCATTGCCTGCCAGCCCTGCATGGCAGCTGCATTATTCCACGTGGACTCTCAGATCACAGTTTTATTTGCTGCAAGCTGAGTCTCCTGGCAGAGCACATTCCCGGGCACCCTATTGGTGTTTTAACACCAGCTTGCTGCAAGACACTTCTGTGAATGCTTTGCCTACTTCTGGCAGACATGGGAGACTGTGAGAACCACCTTTTCCTCCTGGAAGTAATGGTGGGATGTGGGGAAGGCACAGATCAGAGCTTTCTGCCAGCAGTACAAACGACTGGCAATGAGTGAGCTCTGCTGCCATGTCCGGGGGGTTGGAGGAGGATGTAGCAAAGCTCAAGGCAGCTCTACATAATGCTGGCAGAGACACAGGATTACATGAGAGACTTAAGCTTCAGAAGAAGCACCTGCAGGAGCTGGTGGAAGTATGCCCACTGCAAGGATTTGTGCCCACTTTCAAGAGCTAGCAGAGGTTGATGCCCTGACCCAGTTCTTTTTCTACATGGAAATGTAATGGGCCCTGCAGACAATCCTTCACCATTTCAAGACTCTGGATGGATGGATACTCATGGATCCTGTTGAGATCCACTGTCACACTGTGGTCTTCTACCAAGACCTGTTTGCAGCTGAACCTCTCTGCCTGGAGTCCACTAAATGTTTACATGATAGCCTTCCCAAGATGTGACCAATGGCGGATGATGAACTTGAGTGAGAGCCATCCCTGGAGGAGCTCACAATTGTGGTGGGGAGTCTCACTGTGTGCAAAGCCCCAGGGCTTGACAGGTTGCCCACCGAGTTTTATAAGACCTTCTAACCCCTCCTTGCCCCCTGCCTCTTGCACGTTTCATGAGAGCCTCACTGATAAAATCTTGCCAGTCAGCTGTCGCTGGGCAGTTCTCACCCTGCAACCAAAGATAGGGGACCTCAGCTGCATTAAGAACTGGTAGCCAGTATCCCTTCTGTGTGCTGACTACAAGATTCTGGCCAAAGCCTTAGCCAATTGACTGCATACTGTCATAGCCTTAGTCATCAGTCCCAAACAGAGCTACTGCGTGCTGGGCAGGACCATCCAGGACAATCTGTTCCTGCTTTGTGACCTGGTGACAGCCACAGACCTCTTTGGACTAAACCTTTTTCGGACCCTAGAGGCCTTTGGCTTCAGACTGGTCTTCATCTCCACCCTCCAGGTACTGTACTGAGATGTCTCCAATCTTTTGAAAGTGAACGGCGTGCTCTGTGCTCCATTCCTGGCACACAAGGGCATCTGCCAGGGCTGACCCCTTTTGGGAATGTTGTACATTCCCTGCTTTACATGCTGCTTTACATGCTGCCGTACACTCCCCTGCTTTACATGCTGCTTTACATTGAGCCCCTGCTTTACATGTTGCAACGGTGCCTGACTGGCTTTGTTCTTCCACTGACCTCTGGTTTGGTTGGTGGCTTGCTGGTTAGGCTGACAGCATATGCAGACAATGTGACCATTATCCTCAGCACCCAGAGTGATGTCCAGTTGTTGGTGGACTGTCAGCATGCTTATGAGTGTGCTTCCTCAGTTCACATTAACTGGCCTAAGAGCAATGCCCTAGTCCTCAGTGTGTGGCCCAATCATCCCTCCCCCCACCCCAAGACCTGCCCGGGGGTCTTGCCTGGCAGCACAAGGGCCTTAAAGCTCTGGGGGTGTTCCTCAGCCCATCAGTCTTGCCAGCCCAGAATTTGGAAGGCCTCAGTGAGGAGATGGAGGCATGCCTGTGGCGCTGGCACTTGCCCAACCTCTGTTACCATGGGCAGATCCTCATTGTGAACAATTTGGCAGCTGAAAAATTATGGCACCAGTGTGCCATGTTGGATCCCTCACTGGATTTACTCAAACAGCTTCAAAGACTGCTGGTGGAGTTTTTCTTGGATGGACACTGTTGACTCTCTTGAACTGTTCTCTATTTGCCTACGGCGGAGGGAGGGCAAGGCTTGGTTGACCTGCCAAGTAGAGTGACTGCTTTCCACCTGCAGGCTCTCCAGAGACTCCTTTATTGTAAAGACAGCCCTCCCTGGCATCAGCTGGCCTGAGTGTTTTTGCACTGGGTAGTGAAACTTGGTTTTGATCGAGAACTCTTTCTCCTGGATCCTGCCCTCCTGGACTGGGGCACCATCCCACCTTTTTACCACAGCCTGGCATGGGCCTGGTAGATGCCTTCCACCTCCAACCCCAGGCCAGACATCTGCAATTTCCACAGTTGCTGCAGGCACCACTGGTCTACAACCCAGCCCTGCAGCACAGGATGTTGAGCCACAGGTCTGATAGCCTCACTGACTCTCTCATCCAGTCACGTACAGTCCAGCTAGGCCATCTTCTCAATATGGCCTGGTTGGACTGGTTGTCAGCTGAGGCTCTGGCTGCCCACTTGGGCATACATTCGGACCACTGCACCACCTGTCTCTTGAGGGACATGCGGGCCACCCTCCCAGTGGAAGCAGCAGCTGCCATTGAGGACTACATCTGAGTGTGGTGGGACATCCCAGCTGGAGATATCTCCACAGAGCCCTTTCCACCACTGCCCATTGTCCTGGCCATGGATAACAATCTGGGTGGTGGGCCTGGCACCTTATTGATTCTTCCTGTGCCTCCTGGTAGCAATGCTGGGATTCATCTTGATGTGCTTCCCCAGAAAGCCCTGTACACATGGGTGGTTTGTGTCCGCCATACTCGCGTCCTTGCCACTCAACCTGACATGAT